TTCAATCTATCATTTTCGTCTAATAGATTTTTGAGCATGTCCTTGTGGTCCTTGGACTTTATGTATGATTCAATTTTGTCTAGACCTATTTTATATGCTGGAGACACTTCATCAGAAGATACAACATTTTCACAGTTGTAGGCTTCAGCATCGATTTCATCCTCCTTTAATTCAAGGAAGGGTAAAATCATACGATGTATCTTCTTTCCTATTTCACAATCAAGATGTAATTGAGTGATGTTAAAATAGAGTCTTTTAGCAATTAAACAAAACACATTTCACTGTTGAAGAAGTTTAAGATTGTCTCTTTGCAAATAAATAGAATCATCTTTAGATCTAATTAACTCATTTTCCTTTTGCTCGATCCACATCCTTCGCTCCTCACTCTTTGAAGAAATCCTACTGATTTGATCAGTTAGGTTAGAGTTTGTGACATGGGTTTGGGTGAGACTGCTACTTATGCTTGAGAATTTTGATTTTAAGTTACTTAATTCCTTTTCATAATTGTTAACAGGTATTTTTAGAGATATTTTGTACCTTTTTGATCAACTTGTCACATTCATTGATCTGAACACTGACAGGCTTAGCAGCAAAACATCTATCCTCTTGCTCCCTTTCCTCTTCAATTCCCCCATCAGTTGTGTATCCTCTCATGTGAGACACACCCTCGGTCATCACAAAGCATCTCCCCGCAGCATGTTCTGCTTTTTCCAGCATAGCCTTTCCATGAGTGGGCTTCCGGACTTCATCATCCTCCGAATCTATGGACCAGACGTCCACACCACCAAATTCATCACTGTTGTTTGTATCCTGCACAATTAAAGCATTCATGGTAGAGTTATTAACAGCAGACTTTATTTTCTTTATTTCCTCCAATCTTCTTAGGAGGCTTGCTTCCTCATCTTCTTCGTTAGATTTTTCTTCTTTCTTTCTCAACATACAGTCTTTAGCAAAATAATTTTTGCTTCCATAGTAATGGCAGTCGAATCCTGAGTCTCCTCCAACTTTTGCTTCCTTCTTTAATTATTCATACTTTGACCCCATCTTCGGTTCCTCCTTGATCCTTTCGGCGATGTAACTACCCTGTCAGTTTCGGTTCTTATTGGCTGGGAATTTCTTCTTATTGAATTTTCTAGGATTGGACACCATCATGGCGTATTCTTCACCGGTTAGATCATAATTTTCCAGATCTAATTCCTCTTCTTCTTCAACCAAACTTTTTCCTTTGGAGACAAGACTTAACGAACCTATACTGGAAACCACATTCGTTTCCTTAGACAAGGAATTCTCATGGGATTTTAAAATGCCCACCAGTTTTGCCAGAGAATAAGACTTGAACTGTTCATGAGCTTTGACAGTTGACACAACAGCCATCCATTCGGGTCTGAGACCATTCACGAAGGTAACCTTTTGTTCAATAACTTTCCTTTCAATCCCATACTTTATTATCTTACTTAAAAGATGATTGAAGTGATCAAAAGTTTGAATAAGCTTTTCTTCAGGCTTTTGCTTAAAGTCACCAAATTCAGATAGCAAGAGAGTTTGGATAGAATGTTCCAAGTCTGCATCTGTGGAATACAATTCTTTCAATCTATCCTAGATCTCTTTGGATGTAGTACAAGAACTCACTAAACGAAACGTATCCGATTGCAACGCAAACGTTATCATTCTCAGGGCCGTGATATTGCATTAAAACTTCTCCTTTTCATCCTGAGGAATATCTTTCACATCATTGACAAGCTGATTGTATTCTTTCTGTGTTTTAACAATCCAAAATGTGCTTGAGTGAGAGAATGGGCCTATAGTAATAGCTTCCCAGATTAAATACCCATTATCCTCCAATCCAATCACGTAGTCTTCAAAGTGATGCGTCCAAACTTCATAGTCTTGTGTATACAAGATCGGTATTTTTGTTGTAGACCCGGTGCTGTTGGAGATATTGATCGGATTGGTTTGTGAATCATCCATGGACATTGCAAAATACTTTTGATCGACAACCTGTAAAAGATCAAACTTGTAATATATCGTTAGGGTTAGATCAACAATTAATGAGATACGTCAATGTAGAGTGACAACTAAATAAATATCAATCAATGCGGAATTAAAAACCCTAAGAAATTCTTCAACAGAAGAGATGTGTATGAATTACACAGTCTCCTACTCTGATACAAATTGATGAGTTTAAAAAACTCTTAGATCGATTTGATCTTTCACAAGCACGATTAAAGAAATCAAACAATTCAAGACAATATGAGAATCAACACATATCTTAATCAAATGTATGCTTATGATTCAAAACAGAGTCACGCCTCAGCAGAGCTCGATGAAGAACTTCCGCTGTAGAGGCGAGCTAGGGTTTACAAAATAGTGAAATAAAATAAACAATGAAAAGTGTAACCACTAAGTCTGGATGCATGCAGCTTATATACTAAACCCTAGTACAAAAATATACACGGTTGGAAAAGCCCAATACCGGCATTCAAACTGGGCTAAGGACCGAGCCCATGACGCAATCTAACAGACCCAACATAAAGGAAGTTTTTTTCATTTCACAACATTCATTTGAAACTCCCATGCATTTTTCTTTCACCACATTCATTTGAAACTCCTATAACATTTAACTTTCTCTCTAATAATGATTATAACTTGGTTATTAAGGTTAAATAAATCTCAAAACTAAAGTGTAATCATATAGAAACTAAATTTTAATATTAAAAAATATATTTACTTCTATGAGAAATCTGCAGAAAAATCTCAGTATTTACGAAAAAGTTAAACTTTAGTCCCAAGATTATATTTTTGAACAAAAAAGTCCTGAAAACCGGCAAAAATTTACAGTTTGACCCTTTTTAACCGGTTGAAACCGGTACCAAATTAATTTTGGACAATTTCATAAACTAACCCAAAATATTTGGACTTTTCTTTATACAAAAAATATAAGGACTTTTCTGTAAACTAAAATATTAGGATTTTCTAAAACAAAACCATTATTATTATTATTATTATTATTATTATTATTATTATTATTATTAAAAATATTAAGAAGAATACTATTTTTAGAACTTGTTATTATTAATATTATTACTAATACATATAAATGCATTTAGATGAAAAATTAATATTAATAATGTTGTTTAAGGATGGAGGTAGAGGAGATGGTGATGTTTTTAACATTGAAAAAGTGAAAGTCTACTTGTATACTTTTACTTTGTATATGGGCATTTCACGATTGTTATTATTGAATGAATTCAGAATATTAATACTTAACAATTTAAAAGATGTTGCATATTTGTAAAACTGTTTATAAATAGTTTAAGTTAGAAGGGTTTCTCACTTTGTATATAAATTTCTTTAACATAGAAGAATTGCGTTCAAAATCTAACAAAATCCACTACAAACATCTACATGGTAAATAGGGTAACTCATATCAAAATTCAAAAGTATTAATTACAATATTTTGTTTAATAAAAAGTAGTAAGAATAATTCAAAAGTATTAATCAAAATTCAAAAGTATTAATTACAATATTTTGTTTAATAAAAAGTAATAAGAATAATTCAAAAGTATTAATCAAAATTCAAAAGTAATAATCAAGAAAATATATCCTATTACTTTTTTTATTAAAAAATATATTGTAATTAATACTTTTGACTTTTGATATGGGCTACCTATTTAGATGTTTGTAATGGATCTGTTGGATTTGGAATGTAATCCTTTGACCTTAAACATTTTTAATTACAAAGTGAGAAATCCTTCTACGTTAAATTATTTATAAACAATTTACTAATATGCAACTTCTTTTAAATTGCTAAGTATTATTATATATTGAAAACAATAACAACAAATGTAAAATGACCATATACAAAGTAAAATTATATAAACAAACATTATTAATTTCAATGCTAAAAGCTTCCCCATCTCCTCTACCTCCACCCTTAAACAATGTCATTAATATTATTTTTTCATTCAAATGCATTTATATGTATTAGTAACAATATTAATAATAACAAGTTCAAAAAATAATATTCTTATTTATATTTTTAATAATAATAATAATAATAATAATAATAATAATAATAATAATAATAATAATAATAATAATAATAATAATAATAATAATAATAATAATAATAATAATAAGGGTTTGTTTGTAGAAAATTCCTAATATTTTTATTTACAAAAAAATCATAATATTATTTGTTTACAGAAAAGTCTTAATATTTTGGGTTAGTTTACAAAACAGTCCCAAATTAATTTGGTACCGGTTTCAACCGGTCAAAAATGGTCAAAATACACATGTTTGCCGGTTTCAAGACTTTTTCATTCAAAAAAAATTCTTGGGACTAAAGTGTAACTTTTCCGTAAATATTGAGACTTTTCTTAAGATTTCCCTTACATCTATATATAAAGTTATATTTTTTTTAACTTTTAACATATTATACTTAATTTATTAATTTTAACATATTGTTGGATGTAAACCATTATCATTTTAAAGCTATAACTTTTTAACAATTTTTAAAAAATACATAAATTATTAATTTTATATAATATTATAGGGTCACCTTAAATATAAATTTTAATTTAACTTAAACAACCCAAATAATATTCTGTAATTAGTTAAATGTAATAAATTGTAATGTCTTTCTAATAATGATTATAATTTGGTTAATAAGTTTAAATAAATATTAGACCTAAAGTGTAACTATAAATAAACTAAATTTCAATATTAAAATAATATCTTCACTTTTACTTATAAAGTTATGACTTTAACTTTTAAGATATTATACTTAATTTATTAAATTTAATATGTTGTTGAATGTAAATCATTATCAGTTTAAAGTTACAACTTTTAAACAGTT